CCAACAATAGATGCACGAACCTATGGCTTCTGACTGACTTCGACAAAGGCACCTGGGTCAAAGCATACACGGTCTCCATGACTCGGACCACCGTTTTATATCGGCCTTTGAGGGTGATGCGCGATGGTGGAAAGTTGTTATTCTATGGCTACCATAGGCCCACGAAAACCCGGATGCTACAGGTTTACGATCCCCTTACTGCTACAAGCACACACTTCATGAAGTTTCCGAGAGAATTTCATAGTGATGTTTGTCTTTGCGACTTGCACTTAGAGTGCTTTGTCTGACATAAGATCTGGCCAATGACTGCACCAGCTGAATCCACTCTCTTTCTACAAGTCATTTGTGACGGACTATAGATGATGATGTTTGCCATTTGAACAGGGCTTTTGTCTTAAAAGTTCCGTTCGTTAAAGACACAGAGAGTGGAGCTATGGAGATGACCCCTTTGGAGGAATATATCACTTTGTTTTATCTGATATATCTTGTTGCTCATGCTTTGTTTTAGTTTTATCTATGCACTGTAATGCTTTCGACAATAAATATTGTTAATCGTGTGATCATGTTACAAGCTGTCAGCCTGTTACACACTTGGCTACTGCATGTTGTTCGGTAGCCGTGATGTCACCAAGGCAGTTTGATGTCCTGCTGCTCGTGCCTGGCGGTTGGTTCTTGGGTTCCTTGAACTATTATGAATGTAGCCCTGCTGCCCTGCTTAACTAATTGTGTTAGTAGCACGAGTACAGTTCCATCACAGTGTATTAGACCGGTTTGCTTACCGTCGGTATGAAGAGATTGTTTCGGTCACCATCTTTGATTCCGTTTCTCCGTGGTAAATCACCCAATGGGTTCCAGACTTCTTTTTTAGGAACACGGATTCCGGACATGGTATAATACACGGCTTGGATTTTGAATCTTTTCGTGGTCCGACTCCTGTGTCCGTGGTGTCCGGCTCTCTAACGGTAAATACCGAGCAGATGGCTTGCAAGTTTCTACCATCGCGTCTCGTAAAAAAAAGTTTCTACCATCGCGTCGCCGCGCGACGATGCTGCCGTCGTTGCCTGCGGCTGTTGGACACGGAAGGCAAAGTCGTGAGAGTGATCCGGAGCATGGGTAGCCTTTGGAGGACCCGCCTTGACGGCCCCGTCTTCGTCACAGGGGACAATCCCGTTGCCTTTGGTGTTCTTGTCGTCAACATGATCAATCCGGCGAACGGGAATGTGTTGCTGACGACGGAACTGGATGCGAGAGCGCTGACCTTCAACGTTGGCCATGCCACGCCGTCCGCCGTGACCTTCAACATTGGTTGTGCCACACCGTCCGGCGCATACAAGATGGTGTGTAGACTTGGAAGGGCTCGATGTCATGAATGAATTGAATTCAAGCCACACACTTGAGCTTGATTTCATGCATGAATTTAATTCAAGCCGCACACTTGGGCTCGATAACATTGCAATGACTAGGCCATATAACCAAATGAGAGAAGCCGAGATGATGGATGAGGAGGATGAGGTCGAGGAGATCGATGGGAGTCAAGTGAAGAGAAAGCTGAGGATGGGTAACTACAAGATTGATGAAGACAAAGCTTTGTGTGAATCTTGGCTCAACATCTCTCTCGATGCCACGGTCGGCGCCAATCAAATAAAGGAGAGATTTTTGATTGGCATTGAGGAGTATTAAAACAACAACATGTCCATCTCCCACACAATCAGTTCTCTTAATCGTCCTTGGAGTAACATCCAAGTGCTATGCAACCGGTGGGATGGCTATGTTGGGAAACATAGTAGAAAACAAAAAAATCGCCCTACGATTGAACCAGGAACACTATCAAGATGGATAAGAGGTTTAGATCTGATAATTACCAACTATGAGTTGCAAGGGAAGAAGAGTTGGCGCCGATCAAACTTGTAGTCCCTCGAACCGTCCCACGAAGGATCCCTCGAACAAGCACCGAAGTATGATGCCTCTACAGTTTCACGTACCAAAGTAGTGGTCCAGTAGAGCTTTGCCATCCAGAGCTTACAACCTTTGAGAAACCTAGAGGGAGAAGTAGCCTAGCGGCGTCAATGTCTAGGTCAACTAGACGCGAGAGATAAAACGGGCGCCTCTCCAAGTTGCCCCTACCCCTGTATATATATGTTGAGCACTGGGGGCGTAACTTGGGAAGGGAGCTTCTCCGAAGTCGGTTTGAATCACGAAGAAGAGTTCTTCTCGGATTCAAGCCTGTAATGCCAAAGGCGGTGGAGTTTCCTGAAACGCCATGGGCCTTGGCATTTCTAGAAATGCCGTGAGCCTTGGCGTTTCCGGCTTGCCCCTCCAAGTTAGCCCTGAGTGCATTATCCCAAATCCCTATGGGCCTTGCTACTTGCACCAGCCAATTTAGCCGTGCACCACAGACCTCTGAAAGGTTTTGAAACCTCCAAGTACCTCCCGAAACATTTCTAAGAACATCCGGAACATTTCCTAATTTATCTGAAACTCTTTTTGGTGTCTTTTCTCTGACTCTCCTTTAACTCTTAATTCTCTAATAAACCATGTGTGACCCCGTAGGTTCAATAAAACATATACATGAATGAAACTCCCTTTTCATTCAATGATCAATAGCGGAACCATGGACATTCATATTAATCCCTATAAATACATGAATGATATTCGAGTGAACCTTTGGTTATCATGTGATGTTCCCTTTGCTTCACGATACTTTACAAAACCCGAGGTGAGATATATCGGTATCCCCTTGAGTTATACACATGCTCACTATACCGGTCTCCTTATTACCGATTTTGTTCTTCTTTCTCGTTGACGTGTTCCGGCATCCCCGTGATATGTCCTATCCATCAACCTCCAACGCCTCTTCCACCCCAACCGGCCATGACCCGAGAGGAGCTGTCATGCAAACTGCATAAACAGGGTACCTCCCACGCCCCAGCCATGGCCTGCGCAACCTAAATGGACCACATGGAGCGCCAGCTAAGGCACACCAACACCGCAACCCTGTCAGGCTCCGGATACGTCCGATCATGGACCGATCGAGCTCCATGCTGCCACCACTGTGTGCCCATCCGCGCTCAAGGCCCTACAGGGCCCATATCAGGCCCACATGCCCTCGCTTCACATCAATTCCGCCGCGTCGCAACACCCATGCACCACAGCAGTTAGTCTGTAGTTGCCATCACAACACCACGAGGAGCCACAATCATTAGAACACCCAGCGGAAGGGAGCGATAAGCGATGCCCCGCCCCATTTTCCTAGGAGGGCTTTATTGGTGCGCTCCTCCAATGGCCTCCGATGGCGGCGAGACGAGCTGGTTCTTAAAGGAGAGCATCGCCACCTCTGACAGTATTCCCCTGTGCCGCCTGAGAGAGGCGATGCAAGGGTCAGGTTTCGTTTAAGTTCAGCTTGCCGTTGTTTAACGCTTATTGCCATTTAGCACGGCAAATTCTATTTATTGTATCAAATAGTCACCGAAATGTCTACATCAACTCAAATTGGGTCAGCCCGGGCGTTCCCGCCATAGTCTACAGCGCTTGGTTTTTCTTTTCGGTTGCTTTATTCATTTGTAATTTGGTGTTTTCCATCATTTGAACAAATACACAGTCAACATTTTAAGTACAAGATTAACTTTTTCTTGCGGTTGAAGATTAACTTTTTTTGAAGTACATGATAATTTTTAGAAAAGTCTGATCATGCATTTTGTTAAATGTTCACACACATTAAGAAATGCTTGACAACCATTGGCTGACGCTCCTCAAGCCCAACCCAACGCCGACGATTCTACACGAGCTCTGTGATCTCTGGGAGGCTGCTACGAGCATCACCATCAATGACAACGTTGAAGACCGGATTGCCTGGAAGTGGACAACGTCCGGCGAATACACGGCGGCTTCTGCATACAAGATGCAATTTAAGGGCAGCATTCAAACCAACGATAAGGCCATAATCTGGAAGGCAAAAGCATCTCCCAGGGCTAAATGTTTCGCCTGGCTCCTGTTGCAAGGGAGGATTATGACGGCGGATAACTTGGCCAAGCGAAGGATCGAACATGACCCGATCTGCTCGCTATGTCATGCCGCGCCGGAAACAACCCACCACATGATTGCGGCCTGCCCCTTCGCTGTGGACGTGTGGGAGAGGACCGCATCCTCGCTAGGCATGCCGTTCACTGCGCTGCCTATGCCCACAGACTGCTCGCTGCGGCTGCGATTAAGACGACAAAATGCCGGGCTACCGCGGGCGAGACGGGCCATTTGGAAGGCCTCATGCATGCTTGTGTCATGGGGCATCTGGAAGGAGCGGAATGCGAGAGTTTTCAATCACGTCTCCTCCTCCGCCGAGCAGGTTCATGGCCGCATCATCGATGAGGCAAGGACCTGGCAACACGCTGGGCTTGCACCGATGTCAGCTTTCTTTGAGCAACCTTAAGTTCGCTAGATCACTTTTGTTCAGGGCGGACTAATGCTAGCCACGCCAGTTTTGTTTTCCTTGGGCCTCCGGTTTACCATGTACCTTATCTTCTTCTTCATCAATGAAAATCAGCGCTCTGCTGTCTTTCCGTCAAAAAAAATTAAGAAATGCTTTTGTTCCCAAATTTCTTTCTTCTAGTTCTTTTAAAAGAAAACCGAGAAGAAAACCTGGCAAAAAAAATCGACAAACCGAAGCGCACGCTCTGCCTGGAAGAAATGGCGCGAGACCAAATTGGCAGGCTACCACCGCAATCCGAGTGTACTGGGCCGGTTTGTTTGCCCATCGGGGAAGAGTCCCCTGGATTGTTTTGTTTTTTGGCTTTCAGACTTGTTATACAACGCGGTGCTGCGGCGACTTTGAATCCTTTCCGATGTCTATGGTCATCGTGGCCGGGTCTCCAAGCTTAAATATCGAGCAGATGGCTACACGATTCCCTCGAAAAATAGAGCAGATGGCTACACGAGACATCGACCAATCCCCGAGCAATACTTTTCTTTCTCTCTCGCCCTCTCAACAACCTACGGCCGTTTCTGTCATGGCGTCGCCAGCGATGCTGCCGTCGTTACCAGACGACTTGATCTCCGAAATACTCTCATGGGTGCCGGTGAAGCCCGCGTGCAGGTTCTGCTGCGTGTCCAGGGGGTGGCACGCCCTCATCTCCGGGCCGGCGTTCCTCGCCACGCATAGGTCCCGCACCGACCCGCAGCTTCTCCTCCTCGCCGCCAGCTACCACAAAAAGGAAGACCGCAGGATAAGTGGCGACCTACAGTTGGTGGACGTGAATGGTGAAGTCGTGCGAGTGAACAAGAGCGTAGGCGCCTTTTGGACCATCTGCTATGGTTGTGACGACGCCCTAGTCTGTGTCACCTTCGATTTCCTCGAGGCCTCGGACTTTTTTGTGGCCAAAGTGATCAATCCGGCGACCGGAAGTGTGCTCATGACAGCCACGGAGTTGGATGATGGAGCATCCTCTGACGTCTATGTCGGGGCCTTCAAGGTCGGTTGTGCGGCCCCGTCTGGCGCATACAAGATGGTACGCCTCATGGGCAACAATCCTCACCAGCCTTGGAAAGTTCTCACCTTGGGAGATGGTGCCAAGTGGAGGCAGGTGGGGTTTCCCGCAGCCACGCAGTCTACCATATATGACCGGGGATCTGTGGTCACAATCACCGGTGTCATGCACTTTCTTTACGCATCGGTAACATCGTGCGAGGACTATATATTCTTCCTTGATCTCGAGAGTGAGAAATGGATGGCGACGCTCAAAGGCCCAACAAGTGATGAGATACAAATGGATGTATTCATAAAATATCTTGTTTGATTCAATAATGACTGCTTCGTTCAGTCAGAGAAACACTTGACCAACAATGTGTGCACGAACGTATGGCTCCTGACTGAGCACGCTAAAGGCACCTGGGTAAAGGCATACACGGTCTCCACAAATTCAATCACTTGTTTGATAATACCTTTGAGGATGATGCGTGATAGTCCAAAGATGCTTTTGTATGGTTTCTCTAGCCGCATGGCACCTTCGGTGCTACAAGTGTACGATCCGCTCACCGGTACTTGCACAGACCTCGTGAAGTTTGAACACAACATTTATAATGACATTCTTTTTTGCGACTTGGAGTGCTTCGTCTCACGTAAGAGCTGATAATTTTTTGAGAGACCTCATAGGGATGTTTTCACATTATGTGAACCGAGCTTGTGTGCATTGTCTTAAAACTTATGTTTGTTGTGGGGCTTGGAAGAAGGTGAAGAGTGAACATGCCAAGAGTAGAGCCAGAGATGGCTGCTTCAAAGGAATTCGATGTAACTAACTTTGTTCCGAGGTTTCTGCTGCTCGTGCCTTTTCTCCTTTTTTTTTCAGTTTGTTCAGTCCATTTTATCATCTTTTGTTTACTGAAATACAGTCAGTTTTTATCACCAATTATTGTAACACCTGGTTTCTCTTGTCTGATATCACCAAGACAGTCTATTTTCATTCTGCTATGTCTTTATTGGTTCTTGGGTTTTTGAAACTACATACTCTCTTCAATCCATATTACTTGTCTTTGATTTGGCTAGAAGGGATCTAGACAATTGTCTTCAACAGGTTTGGATGGCGGTCATGTAATAGGATAGGCAATTAGTTTACCTATCTCTCTTTAGCCAGCCGGTTGTGGTGTTCTTTATTTGGCTAGTTTGTGTTTCTAGCCCATTTTAGCTCTGTGTGAGCTTTTTTTTCTTCACTTTTTCCAGTTGGAGACTTCGAGACCTTGTTGGAACCTTTTTATCTGGTTAATAAGATGGCTGTATGCATCGCTCTGATGCAGAGACCGGGGAGATCCCCTTTTCGAAAAAAATCCATATATAGCCTAACACACCATGTCTTAGATTTGTTTAGACTTTAGATACGGATGCATCTAACCCATGCCAAATCAAAGACAAGTAATATGGATCGGAGGGAGTATAAGAATTCCATGCAGCTGTGATGCCCAACAGTTTTCCCTTGGGTACGTGTGCTATTTAAGGCCCTGTTTGGTTTCAAATAAGTCACCAACTTATAAGTCAAAAAGTGAAAAAAGTGACTTATTTTGCCAAACAGACCCAACTTATAAGTCACCCCAACTTATAAGTCATAAGTTGCTCCACCCCAACTTAAAACTTATAAGTCACCCCCTTTTGCTTGGGTCCCACTATCTTTACATAAAAAAATAAAATAAAAATGTGTGATCAGATGACTTATAAATCAGATGACAACCAAACAAACGTGACTTATAAGTCACTGATTTTAAGTCACCTGACTTATAAGTCAGGTGACTTATTGAAACCAAACAACTCCCTAAGCATGAGGTCAGCTTCCTTATTGTTATCCATCTTGCACTCGACTTGGCATACAAATACAACTGTGGCCCCTGCACGAATCCGAATCTTTTTCGAGGTTTGGGTTCATTTTGGTCCGTTCTCCAAGTCCAAGCCGCTGGTGTACAAGTATACGCACGCATCTGATCAATCACAAAGCAATACTTCGAAGTCTGGGTGTTTCTGTCGCCGCATTGCCGACGATGCTGCCGTCGTTACCAGGCGGCGTGATCTCCGAGATACTCTCGTGGGTGCCGGTGAAGTCTCCAGGTGCAGACTCCGGTGTGTGTCCAGGGGTGAGGGCATCTTCAGCCGCATTCCTAATAGGCCCTTCCCAGACAATTTTGCTGCGCCGGCGTAAAAAAAAGGCCCAGTCGCGCCCCCGAATCTCGTTTTTCGCCGGCTCGGGCAAAAACTGGTTCCGGCGGACCCAGGCCGAACCCGGCGCCTTGGGGGGCGCTTGAGGAGCCGGCGCAAGCGAAAAAGGCGCGTGGGCCCGCCCTGGCGGCGACCCGAGGGCCTTTTCCCGCCGTTTCTTGACGCTTTTTCCTCGCTCTTTCCCGCTCGCTCGCCTTCCTCCCGCCATTCTCTCCCTTTCTCCCGCCAAACCCCCTCCAGCTCGCCTTCCAGTCGCCGCCATGCCGCCGAAGAAGTACGTCATGCCGCGCGCGGCGGCAACCACGACTGGCACCGTGGCCCAGCCGAAGCAGAGGAAGCCGAGGGCGCCGCCATCGAAGCCACTGGGCATGTCGAGCGCCGAGTGGAGGGTGGAAGTTCAGCGACGCGACGCAGTCACCACCGACCGGCGGAACAGGGCCATTGCCAAGAAGGCCCGCGATAACGCGGCGCGTGCGGCGGCGTCAGCCACGCCCAGTACGCGCCCTGGGGACAGCAAGGCGTCGACTCTTCATGGGGATCGTCGTCGCCCGGCTACGCCGACGACGACGCGCACGGGGGGTTCAACCCAAACGTGACCTTTCCCCATGGCCACCCCGCGATGCGCACACTCTCGCCCGCCTTCGTCGGCGTGCAGTACCCTTCATATAACTACTCACCGCCCGCCGCCTACGCGTCCACACCGACACCCCATCTCCGACGTGGTCCGCTGCCCTTCTCGCACCTCGACGACGCCGACGACACAGGAGCCGACATGGACGACATCATCGCGACAGGATCGACCGTGGCCGCCGCGTCTCCCGGGTTCGCCACCCAGGACGAGGTAGTGGATCTCAACGGCGACATGGAGGCCGAGCTCGGCTACGTCTACGGCGAGGACGCGCACGAAGCGCAGGAACCCGAGAAGGAGGAGGACGACGAGGAGGAGCCGGCTCCTGTTCCGATGAAGGGGCGCCAGAAGAAGAAGAAGTGGGCGGCTAGGTCAGGCGAACCGCGCATCAAGTGGACGTCCAAGGAGGAGGAATGCCTCGCCGAAGCATGGAAAGTTGTCTGCCTCGACCCGACCACCGGCGCGAACCAGAGCTTGGAGACGTACTGGGACCGCATCAAGGCCGAGTTCGACGAGCGGTAGCTCGTCGACCCATACTTCAAAGGCGTCTACATGCAGCGCGGCTCCAAGGCGATGGCGAACCATTGGGGGCATGTCCAGTTGGCGTGCAACAAATGACATGGAATCGTCGAGGAGGTCGCGGCTCGCCCGGAGAGCGGTGCCAGCGTTGAGGATCAGGTACGCACGCCGTTCGCCCACATATCTTCGTCGGCTACGCCCGCCGCCCGCCAACTGTTTGTTCCTCCGCGCAGCTGCTGCGTATGTTCGCCATGTATCGGGGCGACAACCAAGACGCCGACTTCAAGCACCTACACGTCTACAAGCGCATTGACAAGTGCGAGAAGTGGGCGGAAGTCCGACGTGCCCTCGACAAGGCCAAGGAGACATACAAGCCAGACGCGACGACTCCGGGCGCGAGTGAGGGGCGGCCGGATGGCCACAAATTGGCAAAGAAGGGGAAAAACGCCGACGCGACAACCGCGCGAGTGCAGGAGTCCATCGAGCATTGCCTCGCCGACGCCCAGGCCCGGGCCGTCCTACGTGAAGAGAAGACCGATGCGCGGTGGTCGTCGCTGATGAAGAACAGCGCCATCAAGCTCGACCTGCTCCGGACGAACGTCGCCGCGAAGAAGAGGAACGCCGACATGGCTTTTTTGATGGGCGGGGCGGACATGCTCCAGAGCGACGACGAGGAGCTCAGGGCGTGGTACACGGCGGAGCGCGGCCTCATCCTGAATCAGATGCGGACGGCAACGCCGACGACACCGACGATGTAAGCTCCCGCGCCCACGACCACACGGACGGCAAGCCCGAACGACGCCTCTACGTCGCCGCCCAGCAGTGCCGAAGCCGCGCCGACACAGCCCAGCACCGAAGCAGCTCCGACACCGCCGAGCCCGCGCACACCTACTCCGCCAACGCCTGGAGCCGACCCCACCGAGTGAATCATGCACGCGAACTTGCGGCGTGCGACGCTCTGTTTTTTGTAACGCCAGACTAGGTTCGATCGCCGGATTTGTGACGTCTTTTAAGGGCAGGAACGACCAAGTTTTAAATTTCCCGCATCCTGGGGCCGGCGCTTGGGGGCGTGACTAGGAGCTAGGTCGCCCCCAGGGACCGAACTAGCGCCGGCACACCCACAGGCCGCTTTATTTAGGCGCCCTGAGAGGCCGAACGGCTGAAGATGCCCTGACTCGTGCTCATCTCCAGGCGGACGTTCGTTGCCACACACAAGTCCCGTGCCGACCCGCACCTCCTCGCCACCAGCGTGGGTTGTGACCTGTGGCTGTGACGGCCAAGTCTGCGTCACCTGGGACAGCCGTGGTCCGGCCTGTAGATGTTGTGCCACATGGGCAACTTCCCTTCGAGGTAAAAGCATTTCAGGTACCCAACTTACATAAAATGTGATGATTTAGTTCTAAATTTGTAAAATGCGACTCCATCATACCCTAATTTGCACTATATGTGACAATTTGGTCCCGGGCATATGACAACACAACAATGGGCAGCCACGTGGCCGGTCCGGTCGTTGGCCTGCACTTTTGCAAAAAACACCCTACCATCTTGTCTAATTAACCCGCGCTACAAATCGAAACCTTGAGCATCCACCAAACAAGAAAGAAAGTACTCCATGGAGCTCATGGAAGCTGGCCAAATGCGTTTTTTTGCACGCCTCCTTGAAACTTGTAGCGCATCAATGTGCCAATATGCGCCAACCAAAAAAAAATCTCTGAGATGATCTGAGGTTTACACTATTACAGGGGAGAATTTTTTTTGGTTAGAACCAGTAGCTAAGGACAGTCTAAGGTGCGGTTCAGAACCAGCAACTGTTAGTTTCCAAGTTTAATTAGAAAGCTTCACTAAATACGTAAAAAAAAGCTTGACTAAATTATAAATACCACTCATGTTGCATTTTTCTACGGGTTGCCGTGGCGATAGTTTCAAGATTAACAAAGAAGGAAAAGTTGTTG